GGTAAGTAAATTATCAGAACAATTTTTGGATAACTAGCTTCAAAAAATAATACCTGGACCTAAAATATTCCAAATCATTAAAACAAAGGTGAATTCTTGAATTGCCGTAATAGTGTCCCTCTGCTTTATTTTACTTCAGGGTATTCATAAACCTCCTTTATTTTACTTCCTGGGTATTCATAAACCTCCATCCCTCTCATAGCTTTCCCACTGAGCTGAAAGTGCTTCTATGGAGGAAGTGTATCAAGCCACTCTTGGATATGCACTGGGGTGACTTGGGAGTCAAAGTCAACACTGTACTCTGACACTTTTAGAATTACCAACACAAAAGCCACGAGAGATGAGCCAGAGACCACAACAATTAACGTCCAATTTAACAAGAGGCCTTATGTTTAAAGAAAAAAAAAACCATGTACTGACTAATGCAAACTTACAGGTGGATAATATAGTCACAAAATTATTTACAAAGTTGGCTTTCATCCTTGGGAAACCTAAACAAGGGCCGCATGAAGAGAAATCATTTCTTGAAATATACATAACAATTCAAAGTTCCCACACAACTTTTGAGTATGTTTAGGATCCTGACACGGATCGTGTTTATTCACAGTATTTTTTTTTTTTTTTTTTTTTTTTTTGGTCTTTTTGAGACAAGATTTCACTATGCAGCTCAGGCTGGCCTTGAATCACTGTATAGCCCAGGCTGGCTTCAAATTCGTGGCAATCCTCCTGTCTCAGCCTCCTGAGTGCTGGGATTACAGGTGTCCACTTTCTTGCTCTTACCCTACCACATATGACACTTACAACACAGTCCTTTCTAAAGTTTACTGAATGACACTTAAATTCTTCATGTCCAGGTTTTCCAATCCTACATTAACTATATCTGTGACTCTACAAAATAAGTGGTAATGAGGTATGAGGTGTGCCTAACAGGGACACAGTACTGTCCTCGACCACTGACCCAAATCAAATTTGCTGTAATGTCACAGCGACTGCATGAAACGCTGAGCTAGTGCACGCAGGAGACCTGCTCTCGCAGCTGTTCTTCTCACAGATGCAGGCAGCAGGCACTAGGAGAATGAGGGAGCGATAGGAAGCGGTCCTCACTACAGCAGAAACAAAGCTGTCACCCGATGCTGCGATGTTACCAGTAAACACTCACTCGGAGTCTACCCTGCTTTGGATGTTCTTTCATTCTCAAATTGTACATCTTGTTACTTTCTAAACAGAAAAAAAAACGCACAGATCTGCAACTCTTTTTAAAGTTTTCCCATCCCCCCATTTTGGTAAAAACAATTCTGCAAATAAAAAGCTTTCCTCCACCGGCCAGTTTTTCTAGAAATTCCTGTCCCATAACCGCATAATACAACATCAAAATATAAAAACAATAAACCCTTATAACCATCCCCGTGGGAGGAGAGGAAAGAGAAAGTCAGAAAAATCGACAAAGCCTTGAAAGGCTGGAGGACAAGGCCAGCAGAGGGAGGGGAGGGGGAGGAGAAGGGGAGGGGCAGGTTTCCTGCGGTCTGGGCAAGCCCTACGTGACGTCAAGGCGCACACTGAATGTTACAGCAGTCAGCACAGGCCTCCCGCCTTCCTATTGGTGCGCTCCGTGTCAGCCGACATCAGAACATAATCCTCATTGGCCAGACAATTACAACCGGAGCAGCCAGCATCCGCTGTTGTTGCACTGCTCTGGCTGCTGCTGTGTGCGGAGCCCCTCTCGCTGAGTTTTGTGTAGCCGTTTCAACCAGCGCTTGTAAATGCAGTCAGGTATTAGAGAGAATAACAAGTAAAGGCTAGACAGCTCATGAAAGAGCAAAGTGTCTCTATTTCCAACTCTGTAAAATCACAAGGACGTTTTGGTGTAAAACTGGAATCCAGAAGGCTATTTGGAGCGAAAGGCAGGCATTTCCTTCCACCTCCTGTTGGACATTCGCGTTTACCAGACCGTACAACCCAGGACATTTTAAACTGGAAATACTGTTTCAAGATGTGTCTCAGAATGATTCTCCAGGGGAAAATACTTATTACTCTACATTTCTGTCGCTATTACAATCTATCATACATGCAACTATTTGCTACAAAAGTGAACAACTCTATTTCATGCCTAGGCCAATAAGTATCTAGGCCAAAGGCCAATGCTTTAATGCTTAAACATTAAAGCAGCAGCACTAAAACTCATAAATGTATCTCACTCCAACCCTTCAGAGGTCATGCAAACATCACTACAAAGAACACACAAGTAAATGAGGCTCTATCCCATGAAATGTGCAGCATGGGGTGGGGTTTAAACTCTCCTCACAAGTCTCCAAAACCCTGTGTAGCTCATTTATGACAAATTCATAACCCGGAATTACCAAGTTTTGTCTGAGGGTATGCGAACAAGATTTTTAAACACAGCTACAAATAAACCCTCAAAACAGCAGGTACCGGGGCTGGGGATTTAGCTCAGTGGCAAAGTGCCTGCCTGGCAAGCGCAAGGTCGTGAGTTCGGTTCCCGGTACCGGAGAAAAACCAAAAAAAAAAAAAACAAAAACAAAAACAAAACAAACAAACAAAAAAACCAGCAGGTACCCACCGCTTCCTTCAGAAGTGACTGTATTTTAAGCCATTTTAAGTACAGTAAATGAGTCTAGGAAAAGTGGCTGTCACTTCCTAAAGCGCTCTCCCCGCTCCTCTCCAAGAGGGTCTAAGCCTTGACTATGGCGTTCCCTTCATGAGTTAGCCAGGGAAATGGAAAGAAAAGCTTCCTATTTGTCTACACCTGGCTCAGCTGAGGGCTGGGGAGAGTTCTAAAACCGGGCCACTGAGACGTTGGGGGAAGTGCACCAGGATAAAAAAAGAAAGCGAGACAATCATGGTCAGGAAGAGTCGCAGGAAAGGGTAAAAAGCAGCAGAGTTCTTTGAATAATATGCAATTCCAGAAGAACATAAAGCCACAAAAAGCTGGAGGACAGAGAAAACGTGTCCAAAACGCAGGGAGAGGCCAGGCAGGGCAAATCCCGGGTCGTGGCATTCACAGGTAGTGCGAGCCATACAAGGGGCACCAGGCACCGCGTCCACGGCTCTGCAAGGTGCTTTGCAGAGACAGGAGTGCCCGACACGACACAAGGACTGCGCCCTGAAGAGCCGGTGGTCGGTGGGGCACACGTGCACCTCTGAGAGTCTCCACGTATAGAACTAAAACCCAGGACGCTACTGCCGCTGCCGGAGAAAGCTAGAAAGCCACTGAGGCGACGTTCACGCACTTTTGCCATTTGTTGCCCCAGGAGAGCGAGGACCGGGCTGGCTCAGCCAGGTCTTACTGACTGAATGGAGAGGCCAGCGGGAAATGGTCTGAGGCAGCCCCGGGAAGTGGCTTTAGATACAAGGCAGCAAATAAGCTGGAGGCAGGAGACAGACCGCGGCGCGGCGCGGCGCAGCGGGGCGGGGCCGGGCAGGGCCCAGCCGGCGACCGCGAAAGCATGGGCCGGTGGGGCGCGCGGAAGGCGCTCCGGAAAGGCACGTCCGACCAGGACGCAGCCGCGAGCCGCGGGCACGCGCAGGGGTGGAAGGAGGTGGGTGGGCGTGCGTAGCGCGACGAGGGCCTCCCGGGTCACCACCACGCCGGGGTCCTGAGCCACCCCCTCCGCGGAAGCAGAAGGTGCATCTAGACAGGGACCCAGGCGAGCGAGGCAGCCGAGGGGCTCCGCCGCCTCAAAGGCCGCGCCTCTCCACGCCTCCCCCAGGGCAGCGCGACGGCAGCCGCCCCTCGCCCCGGGGGGCCCAGGCTCGGGATACCAACCCCGCCCCGACCGGTGGGGCGCGCCCTCTCGGATCCCCAGCAGGCGAGCCAGGCCTGCGCCGCTCCAGGCAGGTTTCACCCGGCTGCGCCGCTCAAGGCCCGTGCGCCCCGGGCTGGGGAACCGCGGAAGGCGCCTCAGGACGCCGGTCGCCGCCGCCAGAGAGCAGGGGGGTAGGGAGGCTGAGCCCCCACCCTAGCCAGGTCCGCGGCACCCTCCACCGCGCCGCCCGCCGGGATGCGCCCCGCGCCCCTCCCGACCATCCGCTGCTAGCCCCGGCAGCGCCGGCCCCTGCGCCGCTCCGGGAAGGCCGGGCCGGCGCTTCGTTAGGCGCACAGCCGGGTGCAGGGCGGAGAGGGGCCGCCTGCCGGCCACAGCCTGGCCACAATGAAGGAGCCGGCGGGTCCATGCACCCGCCACGGGTTCACCTCGCAAGGTGACACCCGACCGCCTCCTACAGAGGGATTTTCTAAAGGACTGGCGGAGAGAGGGAACACGGTAAAATGCAGGACCCGCGACCCTGAGTATAAGTTTTTTCTTGGGGAAGAGCCCCCTCGCAAGGGCTCTGCACGCCGAGGGGTTCCGGAGGTGTGCGCTCCGACTCCAGCCAGCACGAATGGGAAAGTGAGCGCGTCCAGAGGCGCCTCGTACAACAGATACTTGACCATGGCGCGGCTCGCTCGCTCAGTTCATTCATTTTTATTCCGGGCTTCAATGTCCCCTCCTCCACGCCCCTCCGCCCCGCGTCCGGGAAACTGGAAAGGGGAGCGCGTGGGGAAGGGGTCCTGGGAAGGAGCCCCGAGCAGGAGCGAGGCACGACGTGGCAGGGCGGCGGGGGCTCTGCAAGGAGAAAGGAAGGACGCGAGGGTGCCGGGGCCGGAGCACCTGGCCGAGCTGGCGGCGGCGGCGGGCGGGGGTAAAGGCAGAGGGCCGGGTCCTCCCGCCACGGGCAGGCGCGCGGTGGCTGCGGGAGGCCGACAGACGCTGAGCCTGGGTGGAAACCAGGGGGCGGCACACGCGGGACTGGTCCGAGGATCTCCCGCGCCGGCCGCGCGCATCGCCCGGCGCACACTCGCTGTTATGTAAGCCGTGGGAGGCGCGCGGCGGCGGGGCGCCCACCTGCAGCCGGGACTCCGGGGACCCGTGCCATCCACACCCGGCCCGGAACCCCGCGGCGGCCGGTGCTCCCCGATCCGCAGCGCGCGGGCATCGCCTTACCAGTTCTCCTGCATCCACTGGATGGCTTCATTCTCGTTGAACTGCTTTTCAAATTCATATTCTTGTAAAGTCAACACTGACATGTTCATTGGGGCTGATCTTCGGGGTCGCTACGTGTTCTCTACACAAAATAAAACAATCGGTAAAGCGCTGGCTCGGGAGGGCTCTCCCGCCTGCGTCCCGCCCACCCCAGGTGGCCCGCCGCCGCCGCGGAGGTCGCGCTCGCCCGGCCGCCTCAGCCACATCCAGGGGCTAGCGTGCCTGAGCTCTGGCTGCGCCGCGCTCCTCCCGGCGTCCGCGGCCGGCGGAGGGGACGAGCGCCTTGCGGTCTTAACGCCCGCGCGCCCGTCCATCACGCTTTTTACTCGTCTGCAGGGAAATCTCCTCCCCCTCGTGCGATCGCAACGTTAACCCTTTGCGAGGGAGGGCGCGACGGAGCGAGCCCTCTCCCCGCGGGGGGGCTGGGGAGGGAGGAGGTGGCCCCGAGGTCACCGCGGCCCTAGCCCAACCTCGTGGGCCTCGGAAAGGAGACGCGTGGACCGGGAGCTGGGCTCGTAAACAATCGGGGAAGAGTAAAGCCCGCGGCTCCCGCTCGCAGAGCACCGGCCTGCGTGGGGCTCGCGCGCTCTGGGGACGCGCGGCCTGGGACTCACGTGGGCGGGGCGAGCCCGAGACCTCCGCGACCGCGCCGGCCGGGATGCTGAGGCTAAGCGCCGCGGCGGGGGCGGCAGCCCGGGAGCCGGAAGTGGAGGAGAAGGCCGGGAGAGGGGTGAGGCGGCTGTCCGGGAGAGGGGAAGGGGTAATTAACTCGCGGAGACAAAGGAGGAAGGCAGTTTAGCGCACAGAACTGGATCGACTGGTCCAATGCAAAAACTGTTTGCCTGCATGAATAATCGTGCTTTATCTGCTGCACAGGTTGGTGGAGCCCAGGCGTGTTTGAGGAGAGGGCTGAATGTAATGTTGACCTCTGGTGAACCTCAGCATCCCCGCAAGGTCGTTTTAACCTCAGCCTTCACATACACCCCTCTTCTCTTCCTGGACAGAATATTGCCTTCTACGCCACCCTCCGTTCACTCGTTTCCTCCAGGAGTTAGGAAAAACGAAATTTGTGATATAGAGGTATTTGATAATCCACTGTTTGGGTGTTACTGTAAATTTTTTTAAAGTAACAATCAGCGACCTATGCTTGTGAAATTAAATGCAGTGGCCGGGTGGGGATGTCTCCCAGGTGGCCTGACAGTTGCGTTAGCGTGCGAGAGGCCCCAGATTCTGCCCTGCTGACCACAAATAATAGTAATTATTAAATGAAATAAAATGAAGTGCATGTTAGACCTGAGGACCAGGAAGAAAATTTCTGCTTTCTGTTGTGCATTTCCCCATCTGCCAAATAGTCAGAAGAGAAGGGTATCTCATTCAGACTTGGCTGACTGTAGCCTCAGGAAGTCGGAACAGAGAAAAATATCTCCGTAAAGAAGGAAAATAGAATAAATAAAAAGTTCAAAGAAATGCATTGCAATACCACATAAAGGGCCAGAGTGGTTGATAATTAGCAGATTAATATGTAGGTGGACCGTCCCAAAGATTCCAGAGACTGCTGTTGGCTCCAACTAGGGGTTGTCTTCCTCAGACTTCGCTAACAAGCCGGAGAGACTGAAGGTGCCAGGCCAACACATCTGGCAAAATTCTGTGCGGCCAGATATGAGGAAGATTTTATTCTACTGCCTTGTCCTGTTAGTATCTCGATAATTTGTACAGTGAACCAATGCTTGTTTAAATAAATGAAACCACTAGGAAAGTGACACATAGATGAAAACAGCGGATCTAGGAAAGGCCTCATTGATGATCTTTCTTTTGTCTAAAAAGGATTCCGTTTTAAACAACTGTTCTTAGTCATACATTTCCAAGTAGTATGAGAAATGTGCATTTAGTTACTGTGTTTCTTATTCAAATAATGTCTGCTAATGCCTGCTTATTTTCTCAAAATGGATTTGGGGTTTTGTCAAAAACAAATTTGGGGGGCACAACACCCACACCCTTAATCCCAGCACTTGGGAGGCTGAGGCAGGAGAATCACCGTGAGTCTGAGGCCAATCTGAATTACATAGCCAGACCCTGTCTCAAAAAGAAAATAAAAAGTGAAAAACAAATTTTAAAACCTAGCATGGTGGTACGCACCTGTAATCCTAGCACCCTAGTGGCTGAGGCAAGAGAATCAGCACACATTGAAGGCCAGCCTGGGCTACATAGTGAGACCCCCCATCTCAAAAAAAGAAGGAAAAAAAGAAAAAGGAAGAAGGAAAGAAAAGAAGGGAGGAAGGACCGAAGGAAGAAAGACTTACGTACAACTTTCTGATTTGGTCTTATCTATGTGTAAGGAAAAATTACTCCAAAATGGGAGGTAAATCCCTTTTCCTTGACCCACACAGAGGTCAGTTATAGAAAGGGCATGCAGAGCAGGCGCCGTTGAGGGCCCTGAAAACTGCTCACTGTGTGGCAAGCACTTGGGCAGCCTGTGTGGTCATTTTCAGTGGACAGCACTCACAAAAGCACCTACTCACCCGAGCTCCTCAGAAGCAGGGGAGGGCGACAGGGACAGGGCTCTTGCTGGCTTGAAGCCCACATTGCGGAGGGGAAAAAAAATCATTAAAATTAGCAAGTCTTGCAACCTGGAAGTGTCCCTATAAACCTCACATGCTTGTAATCCCAGCACTCAGGAGACTGAGGCAGGCTGAGAAAGTGACTTTGGGTTGACACCTCAGTGACAAAACCACAAGCCTCTGGTGCAAGAGTGCTACAAAGATGAAAGCAGGTGCAAAGGCCCTGAGGTAAATAAAGGGTCACAGGGACTAAAAGGGGCCCCAGGACATAAACAAGGAGTAACTGGTAGGTAGTTAGGCTGCAAAGTTAGAGGAAGGGATCATCTTAACCCCAGGTAAACCAAGCTGGTGTCTTTGGATTTTATTCTAATCAAGTGCTGAGGGTGTGGGGATCAGAGGGGCTTATGACAAAGACTTGCCCATTAAACTCATTAATTCCACTGCCAGGAATTTACTCTTGTTCTATTGGCAAAAACATTCTAGATTCATACATGTGAGATATGCAGTCCTGTCTGTAGTATCGCAACACCTGAAATAATAGAGTTCTGGTGGAACAAGTGGCACACCATGAAAATGGAATAGTAATTCATTTTTTACAGTGGTTTTGTAACTTGCAGAGATTCCTGGTATATGTTTAAAGAAAATTTTAAAAAGCAAGGTACAAGCCATTGCATATAGTGTTACACTAGGAAAAATATCTACATGGTACGTTTTATTTCCTGAAAAGACAGATGAGGATGTGTTGGTGATGCATGTATTCGAGGAAAGATCTGGCAGCAAACTAAGGAGAGTTTCTAAGTATTTACCCTGTTGACTTTTCTCCCTTTCTTTCTTTCTTTCTTTCTGTAGAAAAACTTATTGGGGAAAAGGAATGGGGAACAGGAATAGCTCCTGAGAGACACGAGGGGTCCCAAATGGGTTGCCAATAGCCCACCTCTCAAAGCAAGTTTTATAGAGCAAAATCATGAGGTGGGTACAATGGGGGTCAAAATTATGATCAACCAATGTATCAGGGCTTACTAGAGAAACAGATATAACACAAGATACAGAAATGTACAAGAAATTACAAGTTTGGCTTACAATGGTCAGCCGCAGAGCTGGATGAGGAAGCACCTGCTGGAGATTGAAGAGCCCAGCCCCAGGCCTGGAGCTCACTGCAGTGTCCATGCAAGTCCGCATCAGGAGGCTGATGGGTCTGCGATGGAATGCTGAAGAATCTACAACGAAGGCCAGAGAGCCTACACCAGAAGACTGAAGAGTTCCAGGTGGAAGCTGAACAGTCTGCACCAGAAGCCCGGAGATGACCAAGCTCAAAGTGAAGACTGGAGCTCCTCCGAAGAACCAGCAGCCAGCAGGGTCTCAATTCCCTTTTTTTATACAGCCTTCCCGCTCTGGGGGTATGGGGATGGTCCTCTACACCCACACCCTCTGCATGCCTTCCTCTTCCACAGGCTCAGGATGTATAGAAAGTAAGCACCTTGGCTCCCTGCTGAGTCACTTAGCACAACCTCTAGACTCCCCAAGTTGACACAATGTATCAACAATAACAACCAATAAGATTACAACTATAACTAGGTGTGGTGGCACACACCTATAATCCCAGCACTCAGGAGGCTGAAGCAGGAGGATCACAGAGAACTGGAGGCCAGCCTCGGCTGCAAAGTGAGTTCAAGGCCAGCCTGAACTACATAGTGAGACCCTGTCTCTAAAAACCAAAACAACAACAACAAAAAAGAAAATGATTGCAAATATAGTCACCTATATAAATTGATCCAATGGTAGCAAGGGCCTATAGGCGACATCATTAACCTTGACCAATAATCTACAGTTTTAGTCTTTTCTTTAGTCTTAGTTTTAGTAGTCTTAGTCTAAGTGGATGAGAGAGGACTGCCCACCCCTGATGAGATAATGAGAAATCTCAGAAGGGTGATACCAGTGATCCCAAGCCTCTGTTCGTTCCTTGGGGAAGGATGTAAATCTGGCCATTGTGACTTAAAATCTTCAGGTGCACCTCCACCCACAGCTGTGATGAGTTTTTATCCTCTGCACTGACTCCCTCAGGGCTCAGCACCATCTGACTGCTTACACTATTTCTACCATATTTAGCTGACCGTAATGTTCCTCCCTCTGAAAAGGAGAAGGGGTGCAGTTTCCATCTAGCTGCTTTGAGCTGAGAAGGGTGGGTGAAGGGGAGACTACAGTCAAGGGCCTTCTCGGAGAGCTAATCTAAGGGGCCTTGGCTAGAAGTCATGTTCGCAATTTAGCAGTTGTGAGCTCCCAGTATAAGGTTGATCTAGTAGATCCTGGAAAAAGGAGTCTGGCATGTTTGACGTTGGTTCTATCTGCATATAATCATGTAGAATTTGGCCGCCTCTTCTTCAAGTATCTTGGTGAGACCTCCAAGATGATACGGGGGACACGCTACATGTCAGATACGCCAAGTTTGTGTTCCCCAAAGTTGGACAATGAATTGTAAGGAACAACAGAGGCTAAGAATACGAAAATTTATTTGAGAAAAGGAATGCAGAATAGGAATGGGGAATAGCAATAGCTCCTCAGTGACAGGAGGGGTCCTGAATGGGTTAACACTACACTGTTTACTTTTCTACAGCATTTGAATTTTCTTACCATGAGTTTATATTTCACTTTTTTAAAAAAGTCAATAGGAGTTAGCTGAAGTAGTGAGATAACATCACTTCTCAACTTAAAATTTACTAGATTTAAAAGTGTAAGTGTAGCATAACATTAGAAGTAAAACATAAAATGGTGATCCTTCTAGACTGATTATAAATCACAAGACACACACTGAGGTTAGTAAAATTGAAAGGGAATGTTGGGGGAGAGACTAGCCACACCACTAAGAATATTTATGAAATGATATTGTGTGTGTGTGTGTGTGTGTGTGTGTGTGTGTGTTTCTAAGCCAGAACCAGATAGGTAGCTCATATGGAATATAAATAGCTGGGCTCAAAAAGTAACAGTTAATTCATGTTCAATAGTAAAAGTTTTAAAATGTAAGCCATAGGAGAAGGAGC